TGATCTGGGTGAGGAAGGTTTTTTGGCTGTAGCAGACAGTTGAGAAACATGTCAGATTGCTTCTACTGAATAGTCCAAAATATCAGAATATTGAAAGTTACAGACTATTCAGCCACCAAAGCACAAGTGATAGTGCTTGCTTGTGTTTCTCTCCACTGTCTTCTGCACAGTCCTTAGAACAGGAGTAAAATATTGCCTGGCTCCACAAGTGCTCTCCATGAATTTGCAGCTCTGATGGGAGTTCAGAAAAGAACATAAGGTATTTTACTGCTGGAAAGAAGAGAGCCAAGCTGATCTGGGATTCTGTTTAATCCCAGGGCTGCACTGAGTCAAACATATTCCACATTTATTACCATTAACAAGGGGAGATGTGGCCCAAGGCAGGAGCTGCTGTGGCTCTTTTTTTACTGGTACCTGAGAGACTCCTCCATTCTCTAAGGCTGACACTGACCCAAAGAACTGCTTTGTTCTCTGATGGCTGGATTTAAAATTTTTTTTACCAGCTATTTTGCTCCATTTAACAGTTGAGAGAGCAGAGATCATGAGCTTGTCACCTCTGCTGCTACTTGTAGTAGGCAGAGTTGAAGGAGGTGTAAGACTGGAGTGAACTGTGTGACACGTCTGCAGGGAATCAGTGCTCCCAGCAGGCTCTGGGAACAGGAATTATGGGTTTGGATATCTCTTGTTTTCCATTACTGCTATTTCTATCTTCTGTTAACATTCCTCTGACATGAGCCCTTTTTTCTTATCCCATATGGCAGCAGTATTCCTGTCACCAAAACACCCCAGAAAGCTGATCACCCTGCACTTACTTCTGTCCTCTCTGCAAAAAGGCACTAAAAGTTGACTTTCCTGGAAAAGATAGCAAGGAATTGCCTCCTTATCTTACAGCTGAAGCTAATGCTGCCCTGTGCCAGCCCAGTGTCTGGGAACACTGATCAGATCAGCAGTGATGCCCCAGGGCAGCTGGTGGCCACACCCCAAAGTGTCCGACCCTAAAAAATGAAGGAAGATCTCAATTCCTGCACTCCTGATGCCCTGAGTTTGCACGTGGTGGCCCAAGGGCCCGTCAGGGGTGAGGTGTGAGGCAGGAGGTGGGAGCTGAGCTCTCTGGCACCTGTGGACAAGCACAGCCCTCCCCCAGTGCTCGGGTTTGCACTGGTTACCTGAGGCCACCTCCTTCTTCATCCTGGATTTTTCAAGTGTCCTGTGGGACCAGGAGTTTAAATCCATCTGTTCAGAGTTTGTGTGTGCACTCTTTACCAGTGCACTGTGACAGCGACCTGCTCAGGAAACCAAATTCAGTGCCAAGTGCCCCAGGAACCTGCAGGAAGGCAATTTTGGAAGCCAGGATCATTTTCAGCCAGCAGGCTTCTGAGATGGATTGATTTAAGGCATTGATCTTCCAACAGGGCTCCTCTTCTTAGTTCCACATGGCTTGGAGAAGGAAGACATCCAACAGGAACTCTTTACTTCTATATTCATTATCATTTGATTAACACAGATGGGAAAACTTCATGTCTAGGATGGCTGTCTGTGAAAAGCCTGTACAATACAGAGGCAACTAACTCAGATAAAGAAAAATTGTCTTTAAAAATGCTTTTGCTTAAGAAAGAAATAGGAAATGGAACCACACCTACGTAGTAGCACCAGGTCAGGATGATTAGTGACACAAGCCAGAGAACCACGTCCTTGTAATACCTACACATGATGGATGGCCCTTGCAGCTGGAGAAAGTGAGTAGGGAGTCACGCTGACCCCTGCTTTTACATGGTTGGGCTGCTTTCCTTCCCTCAAAAAAACCCCAAGAGTCAGCTATCAGTTACCAGCACATTGGAGTTCCCAAGCCAGCAAGCTACAAGATTAATTGACTGCTTTTTAGGGCATGGTGACCCACTGGAACGAGCAGGAGTGACAACGGGCTTCTTTTATAGACTTTGCATTTGGCTGGAAATCACACGCCTCTGTTGTTATGTAACTCCAGGGATGTAAGGTGGCATCTTGCCTCTGTCTGTTTAGGGCCATCACACTCCCCCTAAGATTGCATCTTGTCTTCTATTTCGTATTCTCATATATTTTTCAATCACTCTCCAATTACAGCGCTTTCTTCCCTCATTTAAGGAGGAATTGTTCTAGTTTTATGCAGAAAAAAATCATTATATGATGCATAAAAAAAATCATCACATATCTGCCTTAATTTTTTTCTGTGCTAATATGTCACAATGCCCATAACAGAGGTGAGCATAAAGAACTAGTAAGTTTGGACTCCTTGGGAAGGTGTGAAGATATAAATTGTCTCAGAGGTTTGTGCCTCTAGTCCAGGCAGGCTGGTCAGTGTGTGTTTCTGCTCACAGGATCTGTTACAGGAACAGAAGAGGGTGTGATGTTGAGAGCAAAGATGACAGGAATGGTCCAGGGGGCAATCAGGTGTGTCCTGTATCTTCCAGCTGTGCTCTGCAGCTGGGGCAGCTCAGCTCAACCCCCTGGAACAGCCCCTCTCTGCTCTCCCACTCCTGATCCAGCTCCTTGGAGGACACACAGGGGGGTTCAGCTTCAGCTTCCTCAAGCTGACTTTCCTTTCAGCTTCCTCAAGGTAGTGCAGGAAGGTGCTGAGGTGACCTCAGGAGAACAGAGGTGGTAAAGGGAGCAAGAAGAATCTGAATTGCCATCTTCCCACAGGACAGAAGAGAATGAGCTGCAGGGAGCAGGTGAAGTTCTGGTTTTGCTCTTGTCTAAGTCCCTGAATCTGTGGCTGCCACTACTCACAGCTCAACATCTCCCTCAGAAAAGCGTGAGGTCAAAGAGGATTCAGAGAATGCAACTGCTGCTGGTGACTGACAGGTTTGCTCAGACTCCAAACATACCAGGATCTTAGTGCTGGGGAGGTGAGAGCTGCAAACAGTGCAGAATATTCTCATCCTCAGGGCTGCTGGTTGGTAAAAATGCAAAATACTGCATTTGACATAATCTTGCTCTACCCCAAACTTAGGAACCAGAACTGTCGAAAAAGTGGCTGTCACCTAGATTAAATTTATTAAATCCAGGTGAAGAAATAAAAACAAAATAGATGCTCCAAGGATCACCTTGTGTTCTTTTCTCAGCAGTTGCATTTCAGCTCGAGGAAGGCACTAGGCCACATTAATGTCTGCTACAAGCAGATGTGTTCTCTTTGAAATACATGCACCCACTTATGCTCTGCCTGCACCGAGTCTGTTACTGGGTTTTGAGGAGCTCTGGCAAGTGCTATCTGTTAATATCTGAAGGTGGGAGTGTTCAGGGAGTTGTCGGAAAGGCTTGCAAGACTAGATCTGATCATACCCACCCACACTAATTAACACATTACATAAAAGTACAACAAGTTTCTCTTTGCAAACATCAGAATCACTTGCCCAGGCACTTTCTGTGCAGTTCTAGAAGAACCTGAGGGACAGACTCTATTGCTTTTTAACCTCAGCAGAACAATGGGTGAGTGGGGAGGGTACAGCTCCCACTTTCAGGGCCCACTCCTTTTTGTGATGCTGCTAGAAACATTCCATTGGCAGGGACATGGCTGGAACAACCTTTTTAAAGTTCACCAGGGGTGCATGAGGGTGAACTTTTTTCTCATCAAAAACCACAAAGGAAATATCAAACATAAGGGATCAGATTCCTCTACAAAGGACTCCTCCTCTCCCTGCCCTGCCTTGCTAATTCTGAAAATCACTTAGTATAAACAGCAGCCCTTGAAGCCACCTTGAACTGAAAAATCCTCCCAGTTAAATTTGGCCTTTTTTTTTGTCAAGGGAACATGCTCCAAACTGGCTCATGTTTCTCTAGCATTCAGATTTTAAATCAGCAGCAATCTCCTGTATAAGAGCCATAGTGAGGACTCTTTTACTTCTTCAGAGTTTGGAGCAAGTAAAACTAATTTCCTTATGAAACTCCTGTGACCTGCTCCTGCAGCTTCACCTGGATTCCTCCAGCAGGATAATAAATGGATATCCCAATCTCAATTTACTCCAGACCCTTGTATGACATCTGGCTTCAAGATGGTGGCACAGAAAAGTGCAGTGATGACACAGGAAAACAGAAGGAAAAAAATAATTGTGCAGTGGAGAGCAGGAGGCAGCAGAGAGAGCGGGGAAAATCAAAATTAAAGTAAATCAAAGGGCGGAAATTCCTCGGAGAAGGCCTTAGGCTTCAACAAAGCTTGTCCACATTTGCAGCACTTCAAGATTACCCAACAGGACCCTGATGTGGGAAGGTCCCAGCAGACCTCAGCAGGCATTCCAGAGGAGCCTTTCTATTAAATAAAAACTCTTGAGTGTCTCCATCCCCGTTTGCAGTTGCTCGATGGGCACTGTCCTGTCTCACAGCACTCACCAGGCAAGGAACTCTGACCCAACTCCTCCCTGCTATCTGCAGAGCAAAGTTAATGTTTTCCTCATTATTTTCTGTTTGCTGCAACCCTCTCCCCCACCGTGACTGCTATTTGACCTGCTGAACGCTCGGGGACCCTGAGGGAAGACAGAGGGAGGTGTGTGCATGAGAGGGGAGAGATGAGGACTCTCAGCTACCTCCCGACTTCTTTATATGCATCAGAAAGAAATCAACAGCACTCAGTGTGCAAGGCAGCTCTGGAGACAGGGAACATCTTTTGTGTGGTGCAGGGAAAGAGCAGATCTGTGTAAGGGACAGGATCTGGGGACGAATGGGGAGTCCAGTGTGTGTTTTTACCTCACTTTTGCATTAGGAAGTTATCAATAAACAGACTCTCAGCACACAGGTTTAATTCCAAGGGGACACTGCTCTTTCACCACAGTTGATTGCACTTGCAGCTACAAGCCTGGCACACCCAGCTGGGATTAATGAGAAACTGGAATGGATCAGAGAGCACAAGGGGAAGTTGGTGTCACCAGATCTTCCTCTCCCAAACCTCTCCTGATAAACCTGGTACCTTCAGTATTCCAGGCAGATCCTGGAAGGGTTCTCCTCTCATGGCACTTGACTTTTCAGTGAGATGGGCTTCTCAAAAAAAAAAAAAAAAAAAGACAAAAAATAAAGCTGGAAGCATATATTAGGGTGGTCTCAAAATGACAGAGATTGAAGTTTCTTTTCATCCTCTCCAGAGAGCCTCAGACATCCAGGAATTCCAAGGAAAACTGCATTTTAAGAAACATGTTCAGAGGTGTCACAGTGCTCCAGGTTATAGTTCTGCACTGACCCAGGCAGGAGAGCCCCTCCAAACACTCACCCAGGCAGAGGGACTTCAGCAGTGGCACTTTCTGGCAGCACCTTCCTCTTGGAGAGCTCCAGAAAGGAGAAATCCAAAGGTCTGCAGTAAGGCCTGATTTCAACACTCACACCTTTGCATCTCAGTAGCAGATCTCCATTAAAGAAGTATTTTAAACACAGCTCACAGCTTTTCTGCTGTACCTCAGAAGTCTTTTAGGAGATGATATATTGTGGCATATGGGTTTTTTCCTCATCTAAACTTTTGTGTAGAACCTCTTGGTCTATGAACAGATACTGCTTTTCCTTCCTAGAACATGCTGCATTTGAGTTTGCTGAGCTTTTGACAGACATTTAGGTAGTCAGACTTGCAATTTTGAGGTAGGGAAACACCAGGAATATCTGCTTTGCAGGTCAGGGTGCTCCTTCAGGTGATTCATTTTGCCCCAAGCCACACAGGACATCTACAGAAAAGCTTGAAATTCGAGTCAGGAGCCCTAAATTCACTCCTTTAATCACACATCCACCCCTGAGGCACTTCATTCAGGTGTCTCCAGTTGGACTTGCTACTTCCTCTATTGCAATTATATTAATTTCTCTGTTAGTAGTGCTCCAATGTGCTGCTCACTGCATTTTGCACAGGAATGCAGTGTTGCCCTTCCTAGGCTGTCCAAGAGAATATTTCACTACAAAAATAAATAATGTCTAGCTGCTTCTGGCACCTGAGTCCAAGCATATTTATCACTTTTGGCTGATCAGTGCCTGATTCAATGTCCCTAAAGCACAATGGGTTTATTTCCAGATGAATTCAAAATGCATTTAATCAGGTGTTCTCTAAATGTGGTCCCAAATTTCACATCTCATGAGCACAACAGTAGTGTCTCTTAGAGCATTATTCCACTTCACTGTGCAGATTGATACAATGGATTTTCCTCTGCATGGATTATGTCAGTGAATGTATGTTTGTACAAGCAGGCTCTAGTTTTAGTTCTAGATTTAGTTCATCCCCAATGTGCTGCTGCCTACGTGTGTGGCAGTCTGGGATTAACACTAAAAATATATTTATATTTTATCAGAAATGAACAAAAAAAAAATCAGAATGACAATTTCACATATGAGTTCAGTGACAGAAAGAATCTTCCACTATTCAAACTCTCAGCTCTGCTGCCTGAGCCTTCCTGTCCAGCCTCCACAGGGGAAGTACAACAGCTTTTTTGGGCCCAGAACGAGAAGTCCTGGGTGGCCTTTAGCAAAGAAAACATTGCTTCATGGTTTGCTCCTTCCCCAGTGTGTGCTGGGAACAGCTTCATCATGGGATGGAAAGTAAAGAAAGAGAAGGAAGAACTGTCCATATCTTTTAGTTCTTCATAGTAATTTTGAAGTTCCCCATTGAAAAAGCTGAAATGAAACCAGGGCAGCTCCCCTGGAGAGAGGGCACAAAGTGTGTTTGGGATGGATGTGCTGCCTCTCCACTGAGACAGCCCACAGACACTTAAGAAACAAAAATCACATCTTAAAACTATGAGTAGATTTAACAATTGAACTCTAAAGAATTAAACATCATAGAAACATTTCACACTTTCTGTTTGTCTTTCCAAGGGTCCACAGTCCACTCACTCAATCCTGTGCAAAGGTCATGTTACTATGGATATGACCTGCAAGAAATGTGTTGCCTCAGAGCAGCACAAGTCACATGAACAGGCTGGAAGCCAAGACTTGCTGATTCACAGTCCTGTAGGATTTTCATGCTCGTGCTGGGTTCAGTGCAGAACAGTCCTTGTGCCAGCCTATGTTCGTCCTTTGAAAGTGTTCATGCAGGTGTAGCTCCCAGAAAACTTGTGGATTTCTTCAAGTGCTGCCTGGGGGAGAATGCTGGTGTAGAAACAGAAAGGAAAGGAGCAGATGAGACAAACCCCTTAATCTGTTCTGATGAGAGATATGTAAATATGCATTTAGGGACATAAAAACACAAATGTTCAAAAACCAGCTAGTGAGACACAGACAAAGCTGGCATCAGTTTCCTGCTCTGAGGAAGCTTACAGGGAGAAAGTTCCATCCAGTCACTCTTGCTCTACAGAAATATTTATCCAAAAAAGTCTGTAAAAGCTGTAACTTGGAAGATACCATTTTGTTTTATTCCTTCTAAATACTATACTCTGATATATACAGATTTAACCTGAATTCTCTGGTTGCCCTGCTATCTGGCTGTGCAAGGCATGTGGCCTCCTTATCCTGAAGTATGGATAGAGACCTCTGATTTCCTGACAGCTACGGTAATGGAAAATAACCTATTAGTTCTTACAATAAAATGGAACAGCCCTTTTTCTTGTTGACAGAATTTCTGGGAACTTCTACTCCAAATTTTACATTCAGAGCAAAGCATTTACTGTGAATTATTTTTTCTTGTTTGAAATGCAATACTGAAATTATTTTCCACTGAAGTCTTATTGCCTTGTTTCAGTTCCTGACTGCAGCAGCTTTTCCAAAGGCTTTAGTGCAAACTGGCACGGAAACACAATGGTGAAAGTCCTTCCTCTGTGCTTGTTCCAGGTTATGAAGTTATGGTTTTTTCCCTTAGGTACATTCAAATTTCAGTCCTGATCATACACAAAAATATTGATTTAATAGTTTCACTGATGTAACACAGGCAATGCTCTCTAAATGCAGGTGGGATGTCCAGGCCTTATGGTTCAGAAATCCTGCACAATAAAAAGCCTGGAGTCCAACAAGTGACTTAATAAATCCCAATCAACCTGTGCAAGTTAATGACTATGAAATTCCCCAGACAAAAATCCAGTTTACACCTCAGGAATCCAAACTTTGGGAACAAAACTGGTTTCATGAGGGGTTATACAAAAAAAAAATCTCCAAAGGGAATTTCAAAGTGCTTTTGCTTCCATGACTGTCTTTCAAGGGAAGAGATGAGAGAGCAGTTCAGTCAGCCTGAGCTCTGCCTCAGGGAACAGACACAGAGCCAAGTGGCCAGGCCATTCCTGGGCACAGGAAATACTCACCTTTTTAGGATAACAAGAACGTGCATTGTCCATGGAAGGAGCAGGAAGGCTTGATTCATCTGAACAGCTTCCACCGTCCTCCTCGCCACTGTCTCTGGCTTGAGAGGAGGAAAAAGACTAGGGAACCTGAACAAAGAAAATGAAATAATTACAGGTGAACCAAGCTCCTCCTTTAAAGTGTTACTGACCACGTCCTGTTACTCTGAGTCATTGCTGGTAACTGGCCCTCAAACATGCCCAGGACAGGCTATGTCCCTAAGAGGCAGAAAATTCCAGTTCCAGCCAAAAATGCCCAAAAGCAGAAAGCCCAGTTCCAGCTTAGGTAAACAGTTAAGAATGTACATGTTGGTGCCCTCAGGGAGAAGTGGCAGAGAGTAATCAGAGCCCTGATTCAGGGCTTTTCTTAATTTGAATGCAAACCAATACCAAATGCTGTCTTTTCAGTGATGGTGTTTTTCCTTTTACTCTCTGTTCCTCTTTGCTTGATTCAAATCCTTGACAGGTGAAATACAAATATTTTCCTCCATTGCTTTTAATACCAAACATAAGGCTTTTCCCAGCTCCTGCAAGAGCTTGACACTGCAGATTTTCTTGACTAAGAGAGCACAAGCTGTATTAAAGGTTATTTCACCCACTGTAAAAGATTAATTTGGACAGCCATTACTTGTTCTCTTGGACAGGGGGAAAAAGGAGGTACTGATAGTCTCACTTCAGTAAGTGGCTGTCATTCCTTTCAGTGGGAAAGGATTAAGTATTCCAGTGAATAAAGAAGGAACTTGTACTGTTAATTCTCAAGTAATTTGTAAACTGGTCTTTCTGCATGACCATTGCAGATGGCTTCCCCTCCCTGTCTGGTATGGCTTGAACACATGCAGGGAAAGCCAGCTTCCAGTTCTCCCAGCAGCAGTGAATGTCTCCCCAGCACAGGGTGGTGCAGGAATATCCCAGCACACTGAGGGAACCAGTCTGATGGGTCCCAGGTGGCCTAAAGTGACCCTCTGTTCCCAGGCAGCCAAATGAGACACCAAATTCTCTTAACTAAATGAAGCATTAATTAGGAGTGTATTCTGATGATTCATTTAAAATGAGATGCTTTATTCTAGTTCCCCTGGACTGACCTGATTCTCATGCCCTGGAACATCTCTGTGCTGGTGTGGAAGGGCAGGACTGTGGTGGCATTCACCCCAGGACAGTCCAGCAGCCCCAGGGTCAGGCTCTCCATGAAAGCAAAGGATGAGGCTTTGGAGGTGCAATAGTCAATGGCTCCAGGGATGGCTGACAAGGCCAGGACAGAGTTCAGGCAAACAATGTGCCCATTCTGGAGCTCCAGCATCCTTGGCAGGAATGCTTTGGTGGTCTGAAGAATAAGAGAGTTAAAAGAAGAAAAGAAAAGAAAAAAAAAAAAAAAAAGCTTAGCAGTGATACAAGAAAAACAGCACTGACTGAAAAAGAAAAAGGTGACACAGACACAACAAGCCCAAGTGTTGCTGTTCATTATGTAAGGAAAGGAGTAGCCTCGTTGTTTTGTCATTTTCTGAGATTCTAAATGGGCAAAGTTTGTGTAGAAATACAACAAAAGTCTTTCCTAGCACATATATGAGCAGTACCCCCAGATAAAGACCATGAACAGAGTGCCTACTATGCTAAAGAACTTTTATGGAATAAAGTCTTCAAGTAAGTGATGAAATCACAAGAAGCTCATTTTCATTTCTATTGTCTGATTCAAACTGGACTGAGTTTCACAGCTCCCTTCCCTGTAGTCCCACACTCCTCTGATGTTCTCTTCACATCACCATACAGGAAACTCCTCTGTGAGCTCAGGCTTTGACAAAGACATCAAATGTTTTATTGGAAATCACAGAATGGGAATAAAGAGCATCACATACTGAGTACTACTGAAAAAAAAATGTTTATTTTTTTATTTTTGATCTCTTTCCTCTGGCCTTTGCCCCTCACATTGTTTTTTCTCTCTTGTTTTCAAGACAGACTGGTTTCACCAAGCATCCCTTGGAAAGACCTACTGGCTGTAATCTGTCACTCTCCTTCCCACCTCTGAGTACGGGGGACACAAGAGCTTATCTCACCCAGAACTGTCCCAGGGTGTTTATGTGCTGGGATTTGAGCAGGGCATCGTCGTCGCTGTCCATCAGGCTCTTCCCATGAACCACAGCAGCATTGTTCACCAGGATGGTGATGTCACCCACCTGCAAAACAAAAAAAAAAGAGAAAAGCTTGTGACCAAAGGTATCTCTCCTCACACATCAGCCATTTCCATTAGAGCTGAATAGCCATCATTGCCCAAATACATCATTATTTTCATGGTTTTTGACATTCTTGCCTATGGGCTTTGTAATCCTTTGTATCACCTCATACAGGCAGCTGGACTTTGTACAATCTTATCTGCGTGGTCACCCTCCTTTTTTCCCCAATATATTATTTATTCTCATCAAATACCGAATCACAAAACCACGGAACTGTTAAGGCTGGAAAAGACCTTTGAGACCATCAACCTGGCACCACCACTGTGTTCAGCACTAACCCACGTCCCCAGGTGCCACATCCACATGGATTTTGAACACTTCCAGGGATGGTGCCTCCACTACTGCCCTGGACAGCCTGTTCTGATGCTTTACAACCATTTCCATGAACATGTTTTCTCTAATATCCAATCTAAAACCTCCCTTGGTGCAACTTGAGGCCATTTCCTCTCATCCTGCCCCCTGTTCCCTGGGAGCAGAGCTGGACCCCCCTGGCTGCACCCTCCTGTCAGGGAGCTGTGCAGAGCCAGAATGGATGGCACTATTTAAAGTGAAAGCACTTTGATTTGGAAGAGGCAAGGATGAAGGTGAAGGCTAATAATGGAAGTTTATAAATGCAGCTGACATCTTAGCACCCTGTGTCCTTCATTTACTCTCCTGGTGCTCTCTCCTCTTTTCATGCTCTGTTGTTTTTCCCCCTGTGCCAAGTGCTGCTGAGAGCAAGCTGACTTTGATCCATTTACGTGCCTATGGATATAGAGGGGGCTGTTATTCTGTTATTTAACACTGAAATGTGTGAAATGATCCATGAAACCTCCATGGGTGAACCATGCTAAGGGGCAGACTTTTATAATCTGCGCGTTATACTCCACAATCCATATTTTATATATAAAATACCTATTGCACATAGTGAGTCTCCTCCTCCAGAGTCTCCTTTTTCCAGAGTGAGCCCCCAGCTCCCTCAGCCCCCTCCCAAGCAGTGTTCTTTCCCCCTGACCTTTTCCCTCACGGCCTTGGCCTGCCGATAGACTTCCTCGCGGTTCCCAACGTCGCAGATGAAGTAGTGGCACTCTGTCCCCATCATCCTGATCTCCTCCGTGGTCTCCTTCAGGCACTTCTCAGTCCGACCCCACAGGATGATCTGTGGCAAGAAACTTTTGTTAGAGGCTAACTGCTTCTGTTTCATATCTGAAATAATTAAAACATGCTTCTGACTTCAACGGTTTGATGGAAATCTTGGATGTGTTTTCACTGCCAGGGCTGTTGTTTTGCTTCATTTAAGAAAAGCAATGACTTTCTGTTACATGGGGAGTATCAAGTGGGACCTGTGTTCCACTGCTGATCCTCTGTTTACAGATTCTTTACAAGCAACACAAGCTAGAACAAAAACTCAGATCTGAAGTCTAATGTGACTGGTATATGGAATGTTTGGAAATTTTTCTGCATCGTGTCATTTCAAATCTCTCCCTGTTTTTGCTATACACATGTACAGAATGACAAATTAATTTAAAACCACAAACCTTCCTGAATATCTGGTGTGTTCTCTACTTGTTTTACGTATGGAGATAAAACCTGCTCTGTAGTAAAATGTATTTTTTCAGCCTAGTAGTTACTTGCAATGCTGATTGCAGGCTGGTGTCTCACGTGCATTTCAAACAAGTGTTCATCCTACAACAGACTTCTAAAGTGAGAAATTTCAAGCATGAATTTATTTTGCAGCTCCTATATGCAGGATTTCACTTGCTACTGCCTTTTAACTCAATAAAAATTAAACACTGCTTCTTGTACAAAGAAACTTCTGAATATTCATAGAACAAGCATTCAAATAATGGAGCATGGATCTGATTTACAATGAGACATAACCAGCCAACCCTATCTGCATTTCTACACCATCAATGAGGTCAGAAACAGAAATAACTTGAAAAGTCACCAGGTTCATTAATTTTCATCATGGGGCTTTGTCTAATACAATTCTTTCTAGTGAGGCAAAACCATCAAGTTTGAGATGGGGCTTCCACCACTGTCCTTCAAACATTAATCTGCAGCTAAACAGATGTAACCACAATTTTTTTTCTGAGTACACAACCATATTTGCTATTTAAGGCTACTGGAAGGAATATAATTTCATCTCTGTTACTTAAGATATCTATGAATGAACCGATCCATGGTTTTTGCTCTTCAACTAAGTCTTCTCAGCACTTATCATGTTATAAATAGTGAGTCACCCTTGTTCTGCAAAAAATAAATTACTGAATGGAGCATGTTGCTGCAATCAGCTGACTGTTCTGTGACTCTAAGAGCAAGATCCAAAAGGGAGAGAAGAAACGGTTGCTACACTGAAAATGCAAAATTATGGTGCTATTTCCAAGCATGTGTGACCCAGGACTATAGTTCCTTCTCACACTACTGTGTACTGAGTCTGTATGAATCTGGCCAGTATATCAATTTTTTTTAATGGTTGAAAATAAGTGCATTTACATTTAAAAGATTAAAGAATCTTTGAGTTTTCTGGACGTTGAAAGAACAGAAGGAAAAAGATCTGAATTGCATCACTGCTTATAGCTCAATCCCTGCAATTAACTTAATGACAGGCAAGATAAACATAAAAAATTATGTGTGCAATATTCTTACCCCACAACAAATCTCTGGCAGGGAGCTTTAACATGCTTATTTTTAAGGACTAGCTAAGCTTATCTCATAACTGGTACTAAAACTAATCTCTGGCAGCGTCAAAGAGCCTTCAGTGTGCCCAAGCAAGGCTAAAATGCAGAAGTACCCAAATCCTCAACCACTTCCTAAACAAGTTACGTTTACAATTAATCCCATTTCCATGTCATTAGCACATCTGTGAACACAAACACACCCAGACTGATAAGATTTATATCCTCAGATTCTCCAGAGCACTAACAAATCTGGTTAACCAGAAACTTCAGAGTGTGTATAAATATGCCAGAGCCATTTCATGGGAAATCTTATCTCAGGGGAAGTAATTTTCAAGGAAAAAGCTGTGATCACACTTAAAAACTATAAGAAAGCATATGGCTGAAATTGCAGCTTGTGCACTGGCCTGGCTTCTAAAGTCTCAGCGTATCACCCTTGGCCATCAGGGCTTGGCATCTCCTCAAAGCCTGTAAAAGTGATGGCTATTTACTCACTTCTGATCCCAGGGCTAGACCGAGGAATATTTTTCATGTGTACACTGCAGACTTGAAGGGAAATCAAGAACATGTGAGAAATTTCACAAGCTCTCAGGAAGTATTTACAAAATACTGTTCAGCTGCGAGCACATGCACACTTGCTCTCCCTTTCACAACCCACATGGAAAGGGGAAGGAAAAACCTCTGTGGAAAGGGGAAGGAAAAAAACAGCACAAAATGTCAACTGCAAACATCAAGTTTGATGCCCACAGAGTTTTGCATCCGGGTGAACTTCACCCTCTTTGCAGGGTTGGATTAGTCAATGTGCACACTAAAAAATGAAGTGACTTGCTGAAGAGTGATGGAAGGTAGGACAGGAAGAGGAGAGAAAGAGAAATAAGGTGTCAGACAAGTAGAGTGTAAGGCAGGAAACTGTGCTCACATATCTAACACTCCAGTGCTTCACACTGCTATTGCTAAATAAAAAGTAGATCCCTCACTCTTCACTTCAATCTGTTTCAAGCATCCATAGAGCCTCCTATTCCCAGGAGCTACCACTGGTGCACTGAATGTCAGGAAATATACATGGAAGAATAGTTAAGCAAAGGATAACCTGTCAAAGGAACATCTGTCTGTGATGCAACTCTTGGATATACTATTTTTTTATGCCCCAACAGTTTCATTGAGACCTTTAATATCCTATAGGCAAGTCTTGCAAGGTGACCCCGTTACAATCTGGGCCATCTGGGGAAGACAGAATTTGCTGTTTATCCTGCTGACAACATTAATTTCAACACTGACTTCTTTCCATGAGACGTTTTCATGTCTTTGATACTGTCCGCACTCAGGTGAAGGCTTCAGCCTGTGTAAGGGAACGGCAGTAAATAAAAGACCATTCTTTTGTGAGAGGTCCCTGATGACCCAGTGGGAAGTGAGGGCTCCTGCTGTCATTTCTGCTACTTTTTACAGATGGATAAAACTCAGAACTCAGTATAATGTGCTTTTGGTCCAAATTCAAGCTTGACTGCTCCTATGAGATCATATGAGATTTTAAATTTCTCTCTTACATCTGGCCAGACTGAATTGGCACAGGCTTCCCCCCAGCCTCCCAGGACATCAGATCTTACAGCGAGACAAGTCTGGAGTTGCTGCATTTGTCTCACAGTTGAGGCTTCTGTTGCTGCTGAACATCTTTAGCAAGGGCTTGGTTTGCAGTCTTTCTGCACAGGCAATACAGCATTTTTCTGATCTTTCTGATGTTTTCTGGGTCCTTTCTCTCCTACTGCCTCCTGAGATTAGCTACAAACTCCTCAGCTCTCTGTGCTCCTGCATTCAGCCTCTTCTGCAAAATGCAGAAGTGCCATTAGTGGTGATCATCCAGTGCTCCTGAACAAACCCTTCTGCTCCCTGTTGACCTGTTCAGACACTGTGGCCTGGGGTTGTTTGCTGCTGCCCCGTGAGCTCCAGTTTCCCAGACACTGGCTCTTTACTTCCCTTGGGATAAAGGAATATTATTCTCTGCTCAGTAAACATCAAGAAAGGCACCACTTCACCCTGCCCCAGCTGGGATTCGAGGGCTCTGCATTCATGAGGAGTCCAGAGCTGTGGTTTCAGAAATGGTCCATTTTATTAGGAAGCACAGTTTTTCAAATGTAGACAGGGGGTTCAGAGTCTGGTCTGTCTCCTCTTTCCTTTCTAAGTGCAAGTCTGAATTGGCAATAAGTGTGTCCCAAATGGAAGCTGAGAATGACTCCAACAGACACAGAAGTTCCTGTCTGGACAGAGGAAAATGAGAAGGAAAAAGGAGAGGCACTGTGTTCATGATTTCCCAGCCTGTCAGGATGCTGCACAGCCACCCATTCACCATAACTTAGTGGTGGACAGAGGAATATTTAATTTGCATTTTGGACAAATTCTTGGACAGTTAGTTTTCCATCCTGGAAAGAATCCAGCCCTTATTTCTTCCCCCTCTTCATCTCTAGTGATCCTCCCCTGCCTGTTCCTGCTGCACCAGACACGCTCTCCTCTCACAGAGTTACTGACCAGAAAACTGGCCAGGGCAGGTGCCCGGGGAGGGGGATAATCCTGCTCCAAGGCTTCCTGCCTGTGCTTACCTCGGTGTGACCCCGGGCTGGCAGCAGCCAGGGAGGCAGGTGGAATGGGAAAGCCATCCTGACACTCCAGGCTGCCGGAGGAGCAGGGCAGGATCCGGCCACTGGACACAGGGAAGAAGAGATTTATGATGATGGAGGAACTCTACGTGCCCTCCTCCCCTTGATGAACTTCAAAGTAGGCAAGGGCTGTGACATCACACTCAGTGCAGATTTTCCCAGGATTTATTAATGGATTTTTGCAAAACAAACCCTATCTGTCGATCTGGAGTCACAGAACTCCTTATCTGACCTTATGAAAATCCTTTCAGCTGGAGGGGCAGGCACTGCATCCTCTGCTCCCAGCGGATTAACTCTGGATCCTTTAACTCTGGATTTAATCTGCTAATGAGGCCTGTCCCGAGGTCAGAGGGGAGACAGAGGGAAGGGTTTTGCTGCTGTTGGACTAAGGCAAGGCTGTCCAACAGAGACCTGCACTGGCTTTGTGCCAAAAACCCCAGTCCTGACTGCAGGGCCAAAGCCTGACTTTCACCATAACACCAGAAGAGTTATGCATCTGACCACCGCAAAATCAGATAAAGCCACTAGTTCATATAAACTGGTCTAGACTGAAGCTGCCATCAACCACAATATAAACATGTGATCAATGCTTCCCGAGACTGAAGGCTATGACCAGTGCAGGACACAAGGTCAGAGCTAACTTTACATCATTTACAAGGCTAGTTAACTTGTTCAGTCCGATTTTACTGCTAGCACAATTCAAGAATGGCAGCAAAGGAATGCTGCCCTTTCACACTATCAATTATTTTGGCACTGTATCTTCAGCAAACCCGCTGTGCTAGAATTTCTGCCTCCAGTGAGCTGGAGCAGTACTGGAAAGGTGTCCCACCACA